GCCCTCATATATTCACTCGATATTCTCTGGATTTTATTTCCAGAGTTTAACGAGATACCATCCTGATCGAAACTACTTCAACTTCTTATACTTAGTGCCCAAACTAACTTTGCAAGCTCAAAACCCAGATAAGCACACTCGAGCACTGACAAGATACGTTAAAGGTTCGTAATAGATTGTCATACCCAATAAAGTGGTTTTTCTCTTCTGAACTTGCATATTTATGATTTCAGCTATGATACCTTTACTTTAATCAAGTAGATTTGAGATTCATATCTGATATCCTTTGTACAAGTAATATCACCCAGGTGAGTGTTGCGTATCAGGTAAATTACGACTAGCCGAAGACATCTTTAACTGTGAATGTCTCCTGAAGAAGCGTCAGCGTACAGCTGATGCAAATGATGCACCCCACCACCAATCTCCTTCTTGTGGTCTCATGTAGTATGGATATCGGGAAGCTAACCGTGTATAATCCCAGCCTAGGATACTCCTCGGCGTCCTGATGTTCACGATCGGCAACTCGGAGAGCTTCCAAACTTGTCTGGACAAGAGGTTTTCCTCTCTTCCTCCTTGAAACGAAGAAGTACCAAGAACTATTAGTCGCTGGGGCTACGCGTACTCTGGCGGAGTCATTGCCAAACGAGGGCGGCCGGTGACTAGACAAGAGGAAAAAATCAATTTGCATCGATTTCTTGAATTACGCCCTAATACAGTAACATTGCAGTTAGCTTTTGGAATGCAATTGAGTATTGCAATCCGCGGGGATTATGCAATAGGACATAGCAATTTAGAATTGCAATACTTCACTTAAACGTTACGTTAAGTTCAATCGCTCTATATAGAGGTTCGACAAGCACTGGAGCCTCGGCGTATTATGTCGGGCGAGACGACGAACTACTATCAGGAACTACGAGAACGCAAACGATTGAGAATGGCGCAGACTACATCATATGAGGATTTCCCCTTCTTTGAAGGGCGTATCCATGGCCGTTCAGAGATTGTTCAGCTCTGCCAAGTATGTCATCACGAACTGAAGATCCAAATTGACTTCCGTCATGTTCGAAGCGGTCATGTGCCTCAAGGCGAACCGATTGTTCTGGGATTCAAAGCTTGTATTAGTAACCCCCAAGGCCATCAGAGAGGCACACACTGATGAACGAGGATAGTAACGACTTTTGTAGATCAGTGCTGCTCTTGAGTATTGCAACCTCCACTCCAATTGGGTATTGTAATATCTAGTTTTCATGCAATCGCTCCTTTTGATTGCAATACTTTTCAAGCGGATAAACCAATTGATTATTTCCCTTGCCTGCCGGTGACATTAACCAAGCTGAAGCAGTAACACCAACAAAGAGTGCCTTTGTTGTAGGGACTTCCAGTGTAGCCCGTCGTGGTCGCTCTTGGTATTTTGACATGAACGCTGCGGCTGAGACCAGTGGATTTTCGCCTCCCTTCGTCAAGCCAAAACACTAAGCTCTGAAGAGTTATCGTTGCAGTCAGAAAAAAAACACCGTGCTCTACGTAAGGTCGAGTGAGAGGCGTCGTAATGTGAGCGGAAGTATTTACAGTCTGGATCCTACGACAATGAAATCGAGATCAGACGAAGAAATGACACAAGTTGGCTTCTCGACGCCATTTCAATTACCCCTCTACGACACACAAAGGATCTGGAAAGCAAGTTAGCGAGAGTCATTCACGGCACCTTCAACTACGAATGTTGGTGAGCATCGAGTTGGC